GGTACCATCCGATCGAGGTACAGCTCGAAGATGAGCACAAGACGACCTTTAGGACTAGATATGACCACTACGAATTTGTGGTCATGCTGTTTGGGCTGACCAACGCCCCTGCCACGTTTCATAGATTTATGAACAACGTGTTTGAGAATGGTTAGATAAATTTGTTGTAATCTACGCAGATGATATATTGATCTTTAGCAAGACCTTAGAGGAGCATCAAGAGCACCTCTAATTGATTTCGAACAAGCTACGGGAAGCTAGACGGAGATGGAGTTAGACCGGAGGACGCAAAGATTGCAACCATTAGAGATTGGTCGACCCCCCATACTCTGACAGAGTTGCGATTGTTTCTTGCTCTGGTCAACCATTACAATGATTGCCACCGCGCAGACTTCTACGCAAAGAAGCTTTGTGGAAATGGGATCCTACAGCAAATGACGGGAATGGACGTAGACCCATCGAGTTCATGTCGCATAGACTGCCTCTGAAAAGGTTGCTGCTTCAACCTATGAGAAAAAGCTATTTGCGCTGAAGGAGAAAATGGCACACTAGAGACACGACCTGTTAGGATGACACTTTAAAGTTTATTCGGATCATGAGACGCTACGTTGGTTAAATACTCGATCTCGAATGCCCACTAAGTTAGCTAAGCGGGCGACGGAGATTGGTTTCTAAGCTCAAACCAGTCAAGGTTAAGTATAATGTTGTCGCAGATGCGCTTAGTACACATGCAGACTTCTTTGGAGCTATGGTCACTTGCCTGGACGTCGATGCCGAACTACAGCAGAAAATCAAGGAGGCGTATGTAAAGACAAAGTCTATAGCGAGATCATTCACAAGGTGCATGCTGCACCTCACAAAAAACCGACTTTCGAATGACCGATGGGTTACTTTTTGAGAATTTTGACAAGGATGATAGGTTGTGTGTATCGGACAATAAGGAGATCCGCGGTCTCATACTTGGGGAATGTCATGATTCAGAGGGACACTTTGGATGGAGGAAGACTTGTGCTAACCTGCTTAGGTCCTACACGTGGATAGGCATGAAGCAAGATTGTATCCGATACATCCAAGACTGCAAAGTGTGTCAGCGAAAACAGAGTTCCACGCAGCCTCCGCTAAGGTCTACTGAAACCACTTCCTATACCATTGGGCCCAGGTGATTCTGTCTCTATAGAATTTATGGATACTAAGGTAAGAAGACGAAGGGGTACGACTCAAGTAATGGCCATCATTGACTTCAAGTAATGGTCGTCGTTGATACGTTTAGTCAGTTTGCCGTTTTTGATCCGCTGCCCACTGAGGCTAAGTCAAATTTAGTGATTCGTGAGTTTTTCAATCATTGGGTCACGGATTACGGACACCCATTGACGATAGTTAGTGATAGAGACAATAGGTTCATCGGCGAGCACTGGGAACAGTTGATCCCGAGACTAACAGACAGACTGAACAGATGAACAAACTGCTACAGCAAGTGCTTCACATGTATATTAGGCTGGATCAGGTAGATTGGGACGAGCATCTACCTAAGGTAGCTAGTGCCGATAACAACTCAGTACATTTGGCAAGTAACCGGACACCTAATGAGTTGCACATGGGATGGCATTCAAGATGTCCGATTGATTGTCTGATCCTGATCAGATTCAAAGACTGCAACACGGCTCTAGGGAATTTGCTGCTCACTACGAGAGAGAAGTACAAGTCGCTGAGAATATCCAGAAGGCCCAACTTCAGATGATAGAGCACGCCAGCAAGCATCGTAGGCCTTCGAAGTTTGCTGTTGGCGACCTTGTCTGGGTCAAGTCAAAGGAGTTCATTCCAAAAGAAGGCATTTCTCAGAAACTGCTACCTGCGTACAGAGAACCTTGGGAGATCCTAGATGCCATTGGAGACGCAAACGGTCCCTCTTACACGGTCGACATGCCTCTTCAGCTGCACACATACCCGGTTTTCCACGCATCTAAGTTACTGCCCTGTGTAGGTAATGGTTGCTTTCCATCACAAAGATCTATGATCCCACCTGACATGGGCGACAGATACGATATCGATCAGATCCTTGATGAGGATGTCTACATGACAGGCCGGAGGGGTAGACCCCAGAGACAGTATAAAGTCAGGTTTGCCTACCACGAGCCAGAAGACGGCCGTTGGTACACTAAGGATGAGTTAGCAGAAACATCAGCCCACATTGTCTCATACTATGAGTGCGCTAGACGAGGTAGATAGAATCGTTTTCAGAGGACTCAAAATTAGGCCGGTGGGAGTGAAAGTATTTCAGGTTGCACCGGTCCTGGGTCGCAGTCCCAAGTCCCAAGTCCTAGTCCTGAGTCCCAGGTCCCAGTCCTGACTCCCAAGTCCCATTCCGTGTTCCATTAGTGGTCCCAGCAACTTGTACAATGTTCACAAATACTCTAGAAGAGTAGTTTTGTTTGTACCATGATTGCAGAGGCACAAATACTCTAGAAGAGTAGTTTCGTTTGTACCATGATTGCAGAGGCCTAGGCGGGCTAGTTAAGGAAGTCCTTGGTAGATAACAGTTGTGGGTTTTAGAAGGCACCACAAACTTCAGCCACGATCACCAGAGTCGCGAGGCCAGGCGTCAATCAATCCATGCAAGAAGCCAAACCCAAGAAGAGTCCGTCAGCTTCCAGAAGCAGGGAACAAAGGCAAAGGGGACCAACCCATAACCAACAGAAGATGTGTTGCATACTCGTGAATACTTCAACAAGTATGGGCAGAACCAAAGATCAACCAATATACGATGAGCATGTATGCAGCGGAAGTCTGGCAAATGGACTGACTCACATAGACTGAACTCACGCATCACTCAACACACAAACAATCGTGAGATGGTGGGGTCTGAGCCAATCATAGACGATGCTCAGGCCCCGTACAACCATACACAGATGAAAGGTGGGAGGAGAGACGAAGGGGGTGGGAGATGTGGGCGGCGCCAGATGTCACCGAGATAGAATCCAGCAGGTCACCGATATGGTAGTCCAAAATGTCATCGAACAAGATCAAAATGTTGTGGACAATAAGTCATCAATGTCGGAGGTACAGAGTCCTAATGTAACCGGTGTCCAATCTGTGATGCTGCCCAGTATCAATCCCAACAATCTCCAAGTCTCGAATCCGGTAAGTATCACAGCCTCTTACCACCGAAGTCCAACACTGATCTCTGTCCAACTCGTATCGAGTCTCCAATCTGAAGAAGAAGAAGAAGTCTGAAGAAGAAGAAGACTAAGTCTGGAGAAGAGGAAGAGGAAGTCTGAAGAAGAAGAAGATGGAGATGGAGAGAAGAAGATGGAGAGGAGAGGAGAGGATGGAGAGGGCCTCAGACCAAACCTGCGGGTGCAAGCTGGCGTCTTGGCGGCGGCGGGAGTCCGGATGCAGGTCGCTGGAGCTATGGCGCTCCACTTGCAGGTAAGTCCTCCTCGCCTCCTCGTTCCTCCTGGACTGCAGTGCGCTAAACTAGCGCTGCAGTCCCTAACGCTGTGCTCTACCAAATAGCGCAGGATTCAGATCATGGCTCGGCCTCCCGGTACCCAAGTACCGGTGTGGAAAGGCCGGCCTCTATGCTGCGAGGCCGAGCCATGATCTGAATCGTCAAAAGTGACGATTCAGATCAGACCGGCGGGCGGCAGCCTCAAGAGCGCCGCCAGGCCCAACGGTAACGTCGTTTGGGCCTGCCCGTCTGGTCTGGTCCTAAAATGTGGCCTAAAAGGCCAACCGGTGGGCCTGTAAATGGCGCTACCGGTTTGAAGGTCCGGCCTTGGGCCTGGACCGGCCTCCGAACCCCTATCTGTCGGGCCTAACCGGGCCCGTGTGACACAGTGTGTAACAAGATGTCTGGAAGGCAGATCAGCAAGTATAACAAGCAGGATCAATTGTTCATGTGCAAGTTGCGGAAGCGCTGCGGGTTGCTTGTGCGATCATGCGACGTGGATGGAAGGTGGGCGCTGGAGAGGGAGTGAGTGCCCGGCGGGGAAGAAGATGCCTGGTTACCATAGCTCGGGTTAGGAGGTTGAGGAAGAAGGCGGCCAGTCTTAGCCACGGAGGTCGAGGGTGGAACGACACAGGTGTATTCAGAGTGTGATCCAAGTAGTAGGGTGAGAGAGCGTGGCGCGTGATCGAAGTGCAGAGAGTCCGCGAGATTGAGCAATACAAGTGCGGAGAGAGAGAGAGAGAGGGAAGGAGGGAAGCCGGGTACATACCTGGATCTGAGTGTTGCTGTTGTGTGCGGCTGAAGCCGCTAGATACTCAACACTTTGTATATAATAACCGTTGCAGCTCTTTGGTGTGCTGTCTTGGGTTTCATCTCTCACCTTCTGGTGTGAGCTCTCAGCTGAATGTTGTGCGTGTGTTGATTTTCGGCGTGGATTTGAGAGATTCATTGCATAAGCAAGGAGTGATCCATCCTGTTCAGGGGGTCCTTCGGCCAAGACGGAAGGAAGCGTGCATAAACATTGTTGTAAACATGACTTGATGGGGGAATGGAGCTGGACTGATGCTCCCCAAAGTAGGAAGGGGTTGGGACCCTAAGGCCCAGCACCAGCCACCAAAGCAGTGAGCAGCCGTAGTAGTAGTAACAGTGCCAAGATTTCTCTGGACGTCAAGCTGCAAACAAGACTGGAGTTTGTGTGCTTGTATGGTAGATCGCAGCACAGGTTGGTGGAATCCGTTGTTCAAATCTAATGACCTGATGGCTGGAATCCACCGGCCATTTTCTGGGGTGTTAGAACCCCACTGATCCAGAGCAAATTCTTCCTCTGCCTTGCACACTCGCACAGCGGCCAATAGCTGTTACCACCACATCTTCGAAGAAAAGTGGCCCCGTTTTTTGCAATGATTGCCAGGACAGGTGCACAACTAGATGTTCGCCCGTCTAGACAATAGATCTAGCTGATGACAGCAACAACAACAATAAGAACAATGATGACAACGAAAACAACAATGATGATGATGAGTCGGAGCATTCAGGGCCAAAATGGTCTAACCTTGAGAGCGTTCTTCTCACGTTCTGCTGAAGCCAGTAAAGCCTTCGTTTCCTCAAGCTCCTCCTTCAGCACACTCTCCTTTTGCAGACCCTCGTTAACAGAGGCCTCCAAGGCCGTCTGAGCCTCAAAGTACTTGGCCTCCAGTTCTGCCATCTGCTTCATTCACGGCAAATAAAAGAAGACGGGGAGTCAATGCCATTAGTCAATCCTCAAAAACATTTACCAAGAGTCGCTGCCATTCCCGTTGGAAAAGGAACAAGACATGTTTGCGGAGGGAAGGTACACCTCCCATCCATTGCACGAGGTAAACTGTGGCGCTGAGACATGGGAGGAGGTTACGGCGCCCCACATTGTGTGCATAGATAAGGATCTACTGCGATGCTTTACAATGAAAAACTGGACATAGGTAACAGGTTAGGTAGCGTGAGGCATATGAGTGAAGAATATAGCTTAGTAACCTTATATTGTGTAATGACCCGCCATAACACAGACTGAGAACACTACTGATTTCTGAGTTCTGCCGATGGAATGGATGCCTTGCTGAGATTCCCGCATTCTGCTGAGTTTTCTAAGTCTGTGTGTGTGCGTGCTTGATGACCTGCGTGCCTGTCTGAGTGCTTGGTGGCGTGAGTGTGTGTGTGACCCACAAAGGTACTTGCTTGTTTGGGAGGGCCGTAGGGCCGGTACTTGCCTGTGGCCGTGATATTGAGGGTTGCAGCAGGGAAACACTCAAGTAACGGAGCAAGAGGCCCGCGACACTTAGAGCAGCGGAAAAACACTCAAGTACCAGGTAGGCCGGTACCGCACCCAATAGAAGTAGATATGCCGGGTAATCGAGGCCAAGCAGAAGAAGACAAAGTGGCATTTTTAGAGGCCTAGTAGCGGTAGGCTCAGTCTAGGCGGGTACCAGTCCATCCAGTCTGAGTCTAGGGCCTGTACGGGCAATATCAGAGTCTGCAATGATGTTTCCCTCTGAAAGGGAGGAGGTACCGGTTGCTTGAGAGGCCGAGCGGACTGGAAGTCACCACCCAGGAGGAGGTAGGCCGCTATATCTTGAGGCTGACCGAAGAGCCCAGCCTCATTCTTCAGTGTGCAAGTTTGGCGACACGCTGCTGGAGCACTGGCTGGAGTAGCGCTGGCTACTACAGCGCTGCTGGGAGGAAGAAGCCCGGGAGCTTCCACCTTGGCTATGGTGGAACTCTACCGGTAGGAGGAGGGAGAAGAAGACCAAGGAGGAGAGTGGCGAGGTACCTACCTGGCTATGGTGGACACCATCTTCATCACCTTGTTAGGCGCTGCATCTGGAAGGCCCCAGTTGGGGTAGTGCCGCATCAAGGAAGCTCGGGACAGAGTCAGGCATGGCGGCTGAATGGGCAGCGGCATAGCTGCCTGGTGTTGACCTTGGACAAGACGGCAGCAACATAGCTGCTTTGGGTTGTCCTTTGGACAGGAGGGTASAGCCCTCAGTACTCCGCCATAGCCTCGGCCTACATGAAGAGGAAGAGGAAGGGTGGCCATGGATATGGTGGACCTCATGTTGTGCCTGCCGTGGAAGAGGGATTCGGACATTGATTCTGGTTCAGCCATTCAACATTATTATTGTTATTTCTTGTTTGAACAAGAGGAGAGGAGATAAGGAGGAGGAGAGTGGTTGGCGAAGGAGAAGAGCATTGTCATTGGCCTATGCTGGAGTACATGATCTTCTTCTTCTTTCTTTTCTTCTTCTTCTTTCCCTCTCTCTCCTCTCAAGTTCATTCATTGATTCTGCTTCAGCCATTGAATGTATACTTCAAAATTGGCTAGGATCGTAACAATTGAAAAAAAAGGACGGAGCCAGGACCATAAGGTCAAGTCCTTTTGCTAGGGGGGTGAAAAAAGGATCCAGGCAAAACTGACCATAGACGAACTGGACAAGATACATTTCCTGTGGACCGATTCGGTCAAACATACTCTCCATACTTGCGGCACACCTGTGTGGTGCGCTGTGCATTGACCGGTGCACAGGACCACTGTGTGGAGTGTGCAAAGAGGAGTCCAACTGTCCTCAACCACAGAGCCAGCATGTATGGTAGGGATCGGACAGGTAATGACATGGAAGGCGTAGCTGAGCATTCTCCACACAACAGTTCCCACAAAGATCAGCATAAACCATCCCCACAAAACACTCGAACCAATTGCATGTTGGCTCTAGGCCAGGGGGAAAGAACAACTGGGATCACAGATGAGTATAAATTCATAATAGCATCCCTGGCCGTAAAATGGACATTTGATGTCTGGGTGCAGAAGGCACACAGTCCGCAAAGGAGGGACAGCCCACTACACACGTGGCTGCAAAAACCCTGGTACTTCTATACATCTATGACCCACTCACATTTGTGACTGGACACAGGGCAGCCTACCATTGACAGCATTCAGAGAAGTAATTGGCTGCAATTGCGGCACCCCGTCACTCTATGTTTTTTTGTAATCGATCAGAACAGAACTACACTTGATCTTAGCCAAAAGGCCAAGAAGGTATATACATCACATCACTCTAAGTCCTGAAGACTTCAGGCTTTCTCAACAGGTCACAGTCGAGTGGGGTCTCCTTTCCACAAATGACTGTGCTCTTTTCTTTGGGGGAGTGGCACAGCATACCGCCAAACCCCGAACAACTGCCCACCCTTGTTTTCTTTGACCCCCTATTTTTGGGTGCGCCGCATGGAGCATGCGCACAGTTGCATGTGTGTGCATGTATGATAGTTCCACACAGTCTCAGATTTTCATCTAGCAACAGAGAACGTGGGACCACCGTAACCCCCCACAACCCCCAATACTCCCCCTTTACCACCCCCATGCCCCCCCCAAAAAAAAAGAACTTCCTCAACACAGAGGTTCTCAGCGGAGTTGTACTCAGCAAGCCCAGAACAGATCCAAACTCAACTTTAAATAAAACAAGATGTGGCCAGCGCGGCTTCGCCCGCGTGTTTTAGTTGTACTGAATATTGTTGTCGGTTGCATTGACATTTGAAGACAGGACAATGAATAGTTAATGGAGAAAGGTGAAGAGCGTGGCATGAACATCATGGGTGACGAGAAGTGGTAGGTCCACATGGCAATGGAGAGCACATTTCCGTGGCAATAAAGTCTAAGAATTATGCAGTAG